AGTTATCGTGACGTGTTATTGCACCAACATATATGTGAATGAGTATGTAGTCACCGATGATGAGCAAATTACGAGTGAAATGTAAGTTGTAAAATGCTCTGTGAAATTTCCTCACTTTTCCGATGCAAATGATTCGAAGCCACAGTTAGGAAGCCTACAGTTTCAGTGTGATTTTCGATTGAGTAAAATTATTCAGGTGATAGAAGAACAAGTGTTTTTCTGTAAGTCAATTGCATGCTAACACCTTCCAGGTACGTGTAATGGTCCGTATGATTGTTCCAAAATTTTTATCAGAATTTGATAAAGATGGTTACGGTGCCCAACTCATATTTAGCTGTGGACCTAACTAGATCTGATGAGAAAACTGCACCTTGTAAGTAATTGTTGTGATCAGAGTTAGTAGAAGAACACGTCATGGTGGTGTGACATATATTTGTACGGACTTGAACACGAAACCTGGCAGTAACCAGGAAGTAATCCACAAGCAAGCTTGCAAAAGAGCTGATAAACATGTGCTGTCACGCGCAAAACAGTAAGGCCAATCAGTGTATAGCAAAATCGATAAGTGAATACTGCTCGCGTTGAAACATAGTGTGGGTGACTTTAGCCAGACACAACACTGATGAACCTATCTGAATTACTGTCTATTATGGATTTTCGGGAGATTTGTATGAGCTTCCTACTTACTCCGTCCTCCGTTACTCACAAGTCGCACACGGTGATCTGCCCTATCTAAGTTTAAGATACCACTGCACTGACAGGACGTTGGGGATATTTGGTACACTCCTCAAAACTGCAAGAACACTTGTTTGGCAAGATGAGAGCTCTCTGTTTACAATCATTGATTGTGAATTCCAATCATATCAGTTTGACAATGGTATGACGTTGTGTTACTAACGATGTAGTAAGCTCTACAGGAAGATCCTACAATGCATTCTGTATGTGAAAGCGTGGTCTTCTGGGTTAAACACTTAGGAGCCGGTTCTAATAGTAGCTTCTTACTTGCCCCGCACTTGTTCATAGCCGGATCGTCGAGCCGCTTCTTCCAGCCTTGTCTAGTACTTAAGAACAGAGCACGGAAAGTTAATCGACGGGTAGTAATGCATAATCTGTGCCATGCCATTGCAGTTTTGTGGTGTTCACTTGGTAAAACATGGGATGCTGGATAAGCTTGCCGAACCCTGTCTGGGAAAACGAGCGAGGTTAAAGGCTGGTCGTGGGCCCTAACTTGATCTTCTTTGAGGGGATGCAACTTCTTGAGGAATAATCCGTGCTCTTCACTTACTCACTATCTAAACGAATTTCCTTAATTGCCGTAATGTCTACAGATTTGAGGGCTGCTTGAATGTCTAGGAGCATGATGGTCGGCTGTCTTTGGAAAGTATGGTGGTGTTCTAACAGCCTTTCGATTGTGTGGATTTGATCGATGCATCCATGACCGGAGTAAAACACAGTCTGCTCTTCGTGAATCTGCTTTTGAAACGTTTTGTATAAGCTGAGAAGTTTGATCAACACAAGCAGTTTGGGTGTTCTTAGGATAAACCCTATAGTACCACGGTTGGCACGGTCACTGCGGAAACCCATTTTGAAGGTGAATCTATTGTGCAATTTATTTGTACTTGCATACGCCCGTAATTCTTAGTCTACATTTTATCTTAGAGACAAATATCACACACATTCAACCACCCATATCACCGAGTAGAGTTCACCTAAATGAGAGCAAAGTTTCAACATCCTAATTGTCCACTGATGATCTAATGTGGCGACGTTCAAGCACTAAAACCCGACTATGCGTTGACAAAACTTTCAATGCATCTCAATCGATTTTACCTGTACAATAATTGGAGAGGCTAACCTGTGTCTTGAAGTGCTCCACCCAGCTTTTGAGACTCTGAGCTTCAAACACATTGTATCCAAAATAGAACAGTCTGCATATCCTTGCGTGACATGAAATCGACGGTATTCGGATGCGTCTAGAGCATAGCTAGTCGATAGCTTGACACAGTTGTAGTTATTTGTAGCCGACAATTCGTCAATTACATAATGCATAATGCGATGGCTTGAGTGCTTCAATGAACCAAGAGCTATGCAAGATGGATTTATTAGGCCGAAGATGCGACCACATCAGACGGGTGAATGGGTGAAGATTTCAGCCGCTGGACGAGGTTGGGGTCCACGAGATCCGCATACCAGAGTGTTAGAGACATTGAGCGATATGGTTGTGTCTCGAAAAATGGCCCAATTGCATTCGAAAGCTCTTATTATTTTCGAGAATATGGCGGATTGCATTGGTATCAGCTCTTCATGACCATAATCTCCCATTCATCTTTTCATCAACTCGACGATGCTGGGATGAACTAACCGAAATGAGAGCACATAAGTGCGGGGTTGCTGAGTGAAGTGAACTGAAGTGAACTGAATTGAACTGAACTGAACACCAGCTCTAAGTGCAGTGCCTGTTTGATATCTCTGGATTCCATGCCAAATTCTCTTGTGGTACCATGAATTTTTGCTTCCTCCGTCAGTGATGAGGTTTCTAATTTTGCCCCTCATTCCAAGACGGAAACGAGGCTTTCAAAAATGTGTCAAATCGGAGTGGTTCTCGAAGTATACCAGGTAGGACAGGATTTGTTAGTCACGCGAAGCGAAAGCTCTTATTTACCCTTCTTTTCTCCCATCACTATCCTTTTGATCATTGCTCATCCTTCAAACAACACGATGAACTATCCGATGAACCAGATTATCACGCTAGTATACGTCCTTTATTGTTACCGGATGCTGATCTGGTACATTGACCTACCTGACACAATCTGTTGTTTTCTCAATAATTTCTGCGTCACTTGAGTGGGCATTGCCGCCTGGGCGCACGAACATGCTCTCATTGCTTTTTCTGTGCGAATGACTAAGCTTTGGTATTACGTTCCTCAAATGATCCGTGAATACGCCACCACTTTTGTCCTTCACTATTTCTACGAATGCGCCCTCATGATTCTGCGTTCCTTCATGTCGTATGTGAATTATGGCCCCATTGTGATTTTTCAGGAGTTTTTTCGTAAGCCCGCCTTTCAATGCTCATCACCCTCACACCGTGATCTGGGCTATCTAAGTCTAAGATACCACTGGATTGACAAAAGTTTAGGGATATTCGGAACACTGCTCAGAACAGGAAGAATACCCATTTGGTGATGTTGGAACAACTCATCTCGCTTACTTCTGTGGAAGCTGAACTAAAAACATGTAAGCTTATATTCGGAATGATAAGGAAATGTTGATAGTGAGGTAGATTGAATTTAGGCATCATAATATGCCTGCAATTTTCGAGAAAGCTGTTGTCCGGTGGGTTGACACAAAGTCAGACTAAGTTTTCTTCAAAAGCTTTTCTTACAAAATACCATCTGATAAATCATATTGAGCACTGATTTCAGTAGAGGAGTTTGCACGAATACGGATAAATCCATTTTTGTTATTTAACCAAGAGGATTGGAACAACACAGGAGCAGTAGGGTAGCATTATCGACATCCTTAGTTATTCCATACGATTCAGTTCATCATCTCACAGTGGCTATGCGGCATATTCATTAGGTCATTTAGGAAGAAATAGCAGTTGACTGTCGTAGATGGCTGCAACAAGGCTTGGATATTTAAACAAAACCAAGAACTATATAAATCAGTCAAGTGGTGGGTTTGGAAAGATTCTGGCGAAATAGTCAAACACAGTAGCAGATCGGAACTGGTTGTTAGCAACGTGGGTTGACTATCTAATAATTGTTAAATTGTTCAATCCAGAGAAGTAGAAAATTTTTGAAGTTGGACACTGGTTAACAAGAAATACCTAACCCGATAGTATTCCTAAAGACCGCACAGTCGATTGGGATACGGAATCGTTCTATAATCGATCCCGGCGACTGCCAGAGTCCCTCAAAGATATCACCGTATTTCACCGGAAATAAAACCTCGTCTAATTTCTACGTATGCCACGAAAATCCCACTAGGACTTGTGTTTCTTTGACGTCTTCTTCAGACATATAACTGTGCATTTATTCATCAATGAAGTGCTTGCATTCCCTCAAGTCGTCACGTCGATTTTTTGTAAAAAAAAATCTACGTAAGTCCCTAAAATTCTGAATTGGGGTCTGAATTTATTGCGAGCCGATTTTCTGTGGAATCATTGATCCCGGTCTCTCGGGTCCAGCAATAGCGCAGTCATTGCTCATTTAGTCTGCTCCCATTTCATTGGTAACACATTTGTCATCGTCTTTATCCCATGACTTCCCTACCAAGTTAGGCTGCACAAAGTTCGCACACTGATTTCTCACCGTTAGAATGTTATTGTGGGAGTCATTTCTTTGTCTATAATTCTCTCTGCAAGCAAGTTCTCCATGTCATTAGAGCTCTGAGCACTGACGGAATTCCGGACTACCACACCTCACTGATCACCTCGCACAACGAACAGCATCATTTAACTGACCCACTTCATTAAAACCCGTTACGACATGACTTCAATCTAAACAACGTCTCTTGAAATGCATTGTCTGATAACTGAATCTAGACTGCATGGTTCACACAATGAATGAAATCCGTCCATCAAGATATCGTGCTGGAGAAATGACAGAGAGTGAACATGGGTATTCTAGTGAGGTATTGGAATAAGGGTAAATGGAACAGGTGCATGAATTATACTTCGGATGAGTTTGCAGAATTGATTTGTTCGCGTATGAGAGGGAGAGAGAGTACCAAGTGACAAAAGTTGTTGAGATCCATGATAACTATTTGCATACAACCTATTGACTAGCTGTTGCTTTATCCCCAACCAAAATAGTATGCTGTAAGTTCGGCTTACCACGACAAGATACACCCGAACTAATTCTGTTCTCAATCTATTCCCATCCCTTTGATGAAAATTCTCCAAAGCGATCTCACACAGTTCGGAGGGACTGGCAAATGAAGAACAAATCCACTCAGGATTAACACATAATCCGATGGATCATGTGGGTGGTCACATGTCGACGGAACGTGATGGTGAGCATGAATATCATTGCATCTCTGCTTCATGTTGAAAAGGAAAAGTGATGGAATATTGCACATAGCAGAAATGGAGAATTTGCACTGTGATTGATCGTATTATTGAGATGCTCGTGAGCTAGTCACTATAAATATGCTGATATGAAAATACGCCCAGACATTTTCAGATAAATTGTATGATGACCAATGATTTCCAGTTGTGTGGATGAAGTTGTTAGCTTACAGTTCCAATATTTACTCAGGTTGAGTAAAATGATCGAGATGATAGCATACCGATTTCTGAAGCAAAATTCCAGCACACACATCATACGGTGTTTTCGGGATAACTTTCTCGCCCACTTACGTAGTGCACAATGCAGTCAATGCAATTATTTCAATTGCAAAATGGACAAACCAAATGTTGGGAATCGAGGGCACAATCACATGACTCACACATACGAACGTCTGTCGGATAAACACACAACAATTATCACACAATGTTGCTTTGTTTGCACGGTTTGGATTGATTTGTGTGGATTGATAAAGCCTCCATTCAGCTTTATAGTTTGGTATTTGAAGTCGAGTAGATCATATTGAGAGCCTGACTAAATATGAATCAATGAATAGTCCCGTAAAGATACCGAGCAACTGATGACATGAATGAATACTTTTTGGTCGATGGTGAAATCGTTGTGCGTTAGCTATTTATTGTCCTCCGAAAACATACTGCGATGTATGCTTCCGATAAGTGGTGTAAATGACTTTTCGTAGATATGCTGTTTGAGAGCATTCACCTCCATGCAATCACAATGAGGAGAATTTACTGTGGTATATGAATATATCTTATGATTTTTATTTTAGTATCAACGCCCCACTTTCCATTGAGATCCACGGAACCACTGTACAACCGTTTCATTCTTAGCCGCAATCATCACATATGACATCTTGCTAGGTGATCTGAGTCATTTATTTCATTTATAGTATTACATTATCAATGAATAACTCCTTGTATTATACCCTCTTCACTTAAAAGATCATCGTAGTAAATGTTGAGTACAGTGAATATTTATTTGATAAATGTAAAACTCAGCAATTTATGGGCGTAGTACTGTGCTAGTTTTCGAAGCACAATAATTAGTTTTTTTCAAATTCCACCTGATTATCATCTGACATATAATAGCCACTACTATTAGGCGACGAAACAGATGTACACAGCATTCGTTGTTTTCACCGGTGACTGATACCTTATTACACTACACTACAAAATTCCGAGATAAAATGAGAGTGTTCCATTTTGAAAACCGAATTTGCTCACGATCAACATGTCCATATTATCGTGTTGGAAATCTTGTACAATCTTTGGTCAGTGGCACTCACCAGCGAACCGTCCCCTTCGAATGTTCAAGAGAAAGGTAACAGTGGGAAATCGAATAACCAAGAGTGGCGGATATATGACGGTGAGTTGGTCAAATATTTTCCCATAACCATAGCCACCAATTAACTGTCCGATAAAATGGGATATCATGGGTAATTTGTAATCACTGTTCACTTGAACGCGAAGATAACCGAAGAGCTAGCATACTGTCACACGGACCCTCTTCGCCATCTGTGAGACATGGCAAGAACAAGTGACATTTGTAGTGGGAAACCACACTTAACTCCATCAGATCCGGTGGGGTATAGATCCTTGTGAACACCACATTTTGTCCATCACCAACGTCATTCTGATCAGGACAGTGTCTCGGAGTTAGCATCTCTGGCTTGTTGGTAAATGGGCTTGTACTCCCTGATCACTGCTTGATCACAATGATGCGAGCAGTGTCGCAAAACGGGAAAACTGAGTGCTTGTGAAATGCTAACCGAGAGCACGATTTTCTCTCCAATAAACCAATTCTAATTGAAAACAGGAAAAGATGGCATAGTTTACTACCAAATAATTTGTATTCAAGTCATGAAAATGAGTTTCAGTGATTGGATCTCATAGGAAATTTCAATTTCTCATTGATCAGACGTGAAATCGGTGTGAATATTTAACCAGTGCGTCACCGGTATTGAACTGCCTAAACTTTCGTAAACAGGTAACCATTGTTAGGGTGATTGTTGTTTTTGGTAATACATAATTCATTTCAAAATGCTTTCCGTGTCTGAGTGATACTGAGATTATTGATTGATGCCACTATTTTCGCCTTGTGTTCTCAAGATCCGGCACTGATCAACTTTGGTGCGAAAAAGCATTTGAAGGAAACGGATGTGCCGGTCGAGGCCAAATTGGCAACAGACAGTAAGTTGATAATTGCGCAAGTCCGTTCCTTAGATTAGGCTGGTTGACATTTTCTGACGAGTTTCCCTTCACATAGCTTTCACGATGACAGTGACGTTTGTGAATGCAGCTCTTGAATAGGAACTGCGAATTGCTGGAGTCTCATATCTGCCATTCCTTCGTTTTCTGGTCGCTTTTGTCGCTAGACAACAGGAGAAGAAACATTCTCGAACATGAGTCTGAATGCATTCGTTGAGCGCGCCAGAATTTGAGACAAGCATTTCGACAAACTGCTTCGAAATGCCCACCACTGCATCATTTTATTCTAGTATCTTTCCAATGTCTGATCTTCAATGTTGATATAAAGCTGCACAAAATTCTCATAGATTGTGGGGAAACCAGCGGAAATCCACAGTGACTTATCAGAAGTTGAACACTGTTCCAAGAGCGATTGAGATTCGGTTTGTATCGTATATAAGATGCGCCATTACACTTACTCTTTCAAATGCTAACGGATTTGACAGTTATATTCAAGGAATAACATCAGAAGCCTAGGACGACCCTGATGCATAAATCACACTCGTCCATCCGGGGTAACCTGCATGGCTTTATCGCATTAAGTCCCGTCACAAATTCGAGCTGACAATGTTGATGAGGGAAGCTCGGTGAAAATTTGACTGCGTTTCATTTAAACAGCTATTTATGATAAGCAATTCAGATCGGAACCCTTATCGACGGCACTCGTTTACTTAGTGTATTGGATTATTCATATGAAAGATCAGCAATTCCGGAGATTTTGCTCTCCAGTATAGTAACGATCTCTGGAAACCAACAATGGCTATATTGACCGGAATGTTGATCGCCATATGGCCCGTGAAAATTATTTTTGCAATTCACTAGAAAATGCAAGAGTGATCATTATGCGCCCATAGAAGACGTTCGAGAGCTGCTGGTGAACGTGTCTCCTATTGGGTTTGGCAGCGGAATACCAACGTTATCCCCTCTATCGGACGAATAAAGAAGACGCAAGTCGGTTTACAGATGCGAGGTGTATTCTATATATCGTGGCACCGAAACAGTACCGATACGAGAGATACACCGAACGGAAAACGAAACGCAACGGCTGTGCAGAAAGCGAACGGTGAGTGTGTACAATCAGCGAACGACCGAAAGCGAAGGTGATTCAAAACGGGGTCGACGGAAACCTCGGAAAAGTCAGTCCAGTAAAATGTACGCAACCGGACAACACTGAGGTAAATGTCAAACGTCGGAAAAGATCGTAGAGTAAATAGATCCAAAATGGTGTTCAGAAAACAGTCATTTTCTCAGAACGATGGAGGTCACTACACGCCATACATTTCGTCCTCTAGTTCCAAATCGAGAGATGTTCGAATCTTTTGATTTGTTCATAGGTGATCCGAAATACACACTGGAAAAATGGTTTTGTAGACAAGATCCAAGTCTCGCGGACTTCTGTAAAACGGATAAGGGAATGCGTTGTTTGACAAAGTCAACTAAAGCTCCACTGCGAAGACAAAATTTCAAATTGGTTCGAATTGTGTGAATAGTCTACTGATTACAACTCTCAAAAAATCAACTTGAGTGTCGGGCATATTTCTCGTCCAGGATGTCATGTTCTACCAGTAGCTCAATCTCTGTTTATCATAAAACACACAGAGATGTCTAGTTCCCATACAGAAAACATACAACTGAGATATAGTTGAGAGCGTGTTCTTCCTTCGACTTCCAGATCATGTACACATTGGAAGCATTCTTGGGGCACTCACATACTTCCCCTTCAATCCACAAACTTTCACATGCAGCTTTTTTGCTTAGAAGACAAAACCGATGTTCGTGATTGAACAATGATGAAATTTAAGGGTACTGTCAAATGTAGGCGAGAAATGTAAACTATCTCGTCAGACTACGTTCACCACTCCATGTAGCCAACGAGACAGATGTCATGATTGGTGGACGTCTACCAGACCACAAATCGATGGATATTTCCTGATACACTTTCTCAGCCACATGTAGTGTGTTTCACGCTCTTCACTATACCGGGACAGAACACGTCGTTTTTCGACAACAAGAGCGGAACCGTTAACAGAAAGAAAGGAGGCGGTTCTGTGTTTGTTCATCGTCCGAGAGAAATGAAGAAGATTAGCTTGTAGGACCAATGTCGACCTGGATGAAACAGAGAACCCACTGTTCTTCTTCCGGAGAATTTAGAGGACAGAAATCAAGTTTTGTTTGATCTTACTAAAGGCGACATGAATCCAGGCATTATCCGGTGGTCTTGAAATTCTCAATATTTTGCTCAGAAATTGGTCCACCATTTAGACGCATAACCACACTACTATTTATTCATTTAGCACAGAAAGTTATAAATATGTACGATACATTCAATTCAGACATGGAAAACGTTATTTCGTTACCATTTCATTCATGAAGCGAATGGTAATTCGGTTCGAGTCTTTTCACATTTGTTTTGGTTGTGTAAGTAAATTTAGTCAAATTTCAGTAGTTTTTAGCTCAAACTGGGTCGTTTCTCTCTCCTATGGGTGCAAAATACGAGTCACGTACTAGACAGGGAAGTTTGCGTTATGTTTGTTAAAGATTAGAACGCGAATCCGATTAGTTGCATCAGGGAAACGGGTGACATTTTATGAGGCGTGTTGTGTCTAAGGGTGACTGTGGAAGATACATTTTGCAAGAAAGTTTGTATTCTGTGCTTTGTTCACGGATGATCTCCCTAATTTGTATTCGGAGTCCATGATTTTCTTTAGGCCACTTGGTAGAATGTTAAAATTTGTTTGTTGATGAAAAGACAAACTTTGCCAGAGAGTCGGCTGTGCTAGAAAATTTGAAAAAAATTACGAAACGATCTTCTCACCTAGTACGGCAGGAAACCTGCGTACTCGATTCGAAGTTGGTACTTGTAGACCTCAAAAGGTGAACTTGCCGACTCATCTCCGGCAAAATTTATTTGCGGAAGACCAAAGATATATCCAGAACAATTATTCTGTCAAATTTAATGGGGAATGTCATTTTTTATAAATGTCTTCAGAATTCATGGATATCAGGGAATTGCATATGGTTTAACAAAGAAAAAATGTCTTCTACTTGGTTCAAGAACTAAAAGCTTGAAACTCCTTCGTGGAAAAAGATCACTGTTTTGCTAAAACGACATACCAAATCAGTCCGGAATTGTTTGTTAGGGGTTTGATGGAGATTCACCAAAGTTAAGACACCATGATTTCTCCCTAGTGTGGATACATAATCAGGCAAGCAATTGATTTGGACATCCGGATATGTTCAATTAGAGAAGGAGCCATACGAGTGAAATGAAACCAGAAATAGATGGAGGAATGAACAAGTAAATCAGACACTAGTGATTTTAATTTCGTGTTCAAAGAACTATGGAAGGTAACGCATTTGAAATTCACGTGTGCCCATTGTCTGTGAGTTGGGAAGAGTCATGTCTCATGGTCACACGTAGTTGCTAGTGTGTGAGAATGTTGTTTTCAGTCAGTTTCAGTGCTGCGAACATCGAACCTGTTTCGAATGAACTGGCCTTGGCATTGAGTTCTCTTTTGGACGAATACAGTGATACCGCAGAGTACTCAGCAAGTCAAAGTTCAGTTTGAAAAAATGTCAGTGCTGCAGATGTGAGTCAACTTATTCATTTGGGAGTGAATTTCTGTCATAAAAGAACGGCTACTTTGGATCTCAAATACTTTGTAAATGACCGCGTATATGATTGCAGGAATGGCCGTAAGATGTTATTTTATTCACGTGTTCTTGCAGATTCCGAGTAAAGAAATCAGTGAATTCAGCGGTCCCATAATTTTGCGCCAGGACTTATTTCACTAGACGTGTATTGGATGCAATGAAAACCATGACTTGAGTTGAACTGGGTCTTCGATGTCACACCAGCTCCGTTTACAAACGGAGATAAGCCAAAAGTGTTTTGTAATACTTTTTGATAAGCGCACCTGGTTGAGTAGAACGGGAAATGTTGTCTACCTAAGGTTTGAAATAAAACGTTGGTAATGAATCTTCCCTTTCTTATTTTCGATCATAATTGATTTCTTGCACTCAATTCCCTTCTGATTCTCCAGGTTCAGCATGATGACTGCCAAGAACATCTCCGAAGCAAACGAGTAATGATTGGAAACACTTTCGAGAATCTGTCAAACGCTATGTTTATGAGAACAATTTCACCCTAACTTATATTATTACTCTGATGCAAACAAATTCTTTAATTTGCAAAACCTCATAGCTTGCTGCCTGTCTTTGCATCACTTTGTGTTACCTATACCCATTTACTTGTTACCAAACGATCTATATCTGCTCACATACAATAAAAGTTTGCTTCCCAAATGAGACGCCAGTTCGATTTCAGTGATATCATTGATGCCCAGAATGAATTCTCGTGGTCTTCCAAACTAATATTTGAACTCAAACCCTATCCAGTTTAATTTTTTAAATCCAGCAAATTCGTGTCAATTCAAGTCGAAACCGTGTGCCTGATCGTAAAAAATGATAGCATTTCAGAATTATCTGCTTTCACTCATGGTGACAGTTGGCTGTATGCTAAGTAATAAATGAGTTTGGGTTTATCAAAAGTCTTGCAATGTTAGTACGGTTTAAGTTTTACGTGGGTCAAATTGATTGTCATTTTGGCCGAGGCCAGATTCGGTTGCGCGTACAGTGGTAGTTCACATGATGCGGAAATTTGACGTTCACGACATGTAAGATAAGTAATAACGGAACTACAGAAACAAGCGGCCTTCACAGGTGGGAGCTATGGCTAGAAGTGTCAGTTTTCTCGAGGGGCAATAAAACCTTGAGAAACTTCGTGAAAAAAGGCGTATATGTATACGGACAGACTGAAATATATTCAGCAGATTTGTGGTTAGCTGTGGCAGCAGTCGCAGCAGTGGCAGTAGTAGTTGTCGGTGTTGTTCTTGAATTTGCAGTAGTAGTAGTGCTGGCAACCTTAATAGTAGCAGTAGCACTGGTAGTGGTCATAGTAGTTGTTTTGTTGTTCAGATCTGACCCACCTCTTTCGGGAGGAAGCCTCCTTTAGTTGCGAAACATCTCAGTACATCACTACATATTAGGATGTTTATAGGGGGTGCTGGACAACCAAAACAAACTAGTGCACGAAATTCTATTTTTCTTATTGGCTTGGCTGTTGTTTCTTGTGTTTGACTGTAATTCCGGTCAACCACTGCCAGACAGGTTTCATTCCTTATTTTGACCACCATTATCATCGAAACACTGTGAGCAATCTAATCATTCGCGGATCTGTAGATTCCAGTATTCGTATCGATGTCGATCAGATGATGTCAGCGCAAAGACAGGTTTCGTAGTTTCAACTGATTGAACATTGACGTCCCAGAGACAGCAGTCTGGTGGAGTATGCCATATACTACTTCGAAATAGCCTAGTTGATCGATAACAATGAAGGTCACTGGAGCCATGTGAAAGGCGATGAAGTCACGTGGTAAGAACACAGGCAGCAACGAAAAGGATTACGAACTTACGAAACCTACAATAACAATGTCCGACTGAGCGAGAACAGGATTACCGTTGATGGTTTTTTATATACAAGTGGGAAATTCGGTTCTACTTTGGTCATTTGCGTCTACAGATTTTCCTGGCCTTTGGTGTCCTATTTGCACAAATTCATCAGCATCTAGCACACATTCAGCAGGCAGTGTCGATCGTCTACCAACCACGGATGGTTAGCTTTTAGTCCCAGTTTCTAATACAGTACCCAGACACTTCCGACGCATCCGCACAGCAGAAAACCACATCTAGTCACGTGGCTCGCACAGGGCTACCAAGCCCCGTAACTGGTCCCGAAAATCCAAGTGACGTGACATTGTACGGTATGGCTGTGTCAGAAATGTTCGCTTACGTAGCCCGTGTAGTGTCAGTGGCTCCTTCTATATGATCGTTAGTGGATACTAAGAAAGAAAATGTAGCCTCAATCCGTAATTGGTGGTGAATATATCATCGGTCAGGTACATGATTTCGAAAGGATTTGGCTGCTCAACGACAGAGTCTCCTAAAAATTAAAAGTGATATTTGAAGAGATCACTTCACACCATTTCATAACCGTGGGTAAAATTTCTAGCGAAGAGTGCACAATTCTGTTGGAAAAACAACAATGAAAACAGAACAACTGAGCTGAACACAAATAAGAATAAGTTCTACTACGTTTTTGAATGCAAAATATAAACATGTTTGTACATCTATTCATTTCCATACAGTGGGTAGTTAAAATGTTACGACAAATGTGCACGAAAGAGTGATTCACCCGAAAGCACCAATTTATTTGCACGCGAAAAGTTGCATGTGATTATTGATTATTTTTCTGCAGTCCTGTACGAAGGAAATAGCTATGGAACTCCCACATTAGTGTGTTTCGTTCAGTTTACTGCAATCATGTGTCGTTTTAATGAGTGTTACTATTTTTGTCTAACTGCACAAACATGGTAAAACATTCGAAGATGTTATACATCAAGTTAAAATTTTTCGTATTGATTTCCTACGGTGAGTTGTATTTGGGATTATTGAGAATACATAGTAGGCAATAAATCTGTTTTTTTCCGCTTGAGTATACGAGAATAGAAAACTGAGCAAGTGCCTGATTGTGTGTGCAATCGACACAACCAAGGAAGCTGCTCACTTCATGTCATAAAGCGATCGGACAAAGTGTTCCTCTCAGATGTGAGATACTTGCGAATGTGCAAGCAAGGATCCGTGAGCAGTCAACAAGTTACTTCTTCTATGAAAATATTGCTACTGATGTGAATGCCGGTAAAACCACACCACGATAAGAACCTCCTCAAATCGACTGTTTAGTTCAAATGTGAATAAAACATCACATGGTGGTCGTAGTAATAAAAGCAACGGTCATAGCTGCAGTAGTAGTAGCGGTGAAAGTGATAATAGTAGTAGTAGTAGTAGTAGTAGTAGTAGTAGTAGTATTAGTAGTAGTAGTAGTAGTAGTAGTAGTAGTAGTAGTAGTAGTAGTAGTAGTTGTAGTAGTAGTAGATTGTCCGGAACATCAGATTTTATCGTCAGTCACTAGTTGCTGACGTCAAGTGGTGGAAGAGCAATGTTCTCACGACCAGCATTGTCCCTGATCACAAATATTCAACAGCTGAACGGAGGTTAATATGATAGACGATTTGAATTCACAGAATAGGAAAGGGGTCCAAGGATATGGAATAATGAGCTGATGAATAATAGCTCAATATTCAAGCCGGTCCAAGTGAAAACGGATGTGGATAACGGAATCCGACGATATTGCAAGTTCATGGATCTAGTGACCGATGGAAAACTGTACGTAAACCACTCCCCTGAATTGAGCAAATACTGACGCATCTCAGTGTGAGAGAGTATGGTCATTTGCTTGATCAGTGGAAGCAAGCAACCTTTCTTTTCTGAGCAACGTCAATGAAAATATTGCACATTACATCCATCTTTCGCCTGTTCGTTTCATATATGAAATACATGATTCGATCAGATAATCCCTACTCATTCAGATTCACCGAGATCAATTGACTCAGTCGGATGCCAGGTTACCAAGTGATCGATGAGCATTGTTCTATGTTGCAGTCTAGTGCCAAATCTTGCCGTATGCTGTGGTTATACTCCAGTGATGACAGCTTGTGGGCTGATCACGCACATGGGCAAAATGTGAGCTCAGCAAATCCATATACTTGAGAATTTATGTAGACAATGAACACCGATTTGGAATATCAATGATGGCACACCTAAATAATTCACTTATTCATTCGCCACGTCACTTCGAGCCGACTCGTCAAAATACTTCCTTTATCAGTCGAAGTACAATGACCTCAAACAGTCACTCTGTCAGTCAACAAGCGACGACATTCTTCCAATAAATTGTATACTAACTCATTCACACAGTGAATAGCAATTCTACGCAAGCTGCACCACACTGGAAAGACTGTTATCCTCGAAGGTTATCTCATTCGCCCAAAACTGTTTGCTCGTTGGCAAAGAGTTGTAGCATTTTAGTATCCCAACTACCCCAGCAGTACTAGAACTTAATCACTGTCACACTCGATCTTGCTTAACCCTTGTCATCTACCCCTTATTGTATTTTGTGGGTTACACACCAGATTTTACTGGTCAAGCAAATGGTTCCGATTCACACAAAGCCACCATTTTAGGCTGATGCAACTCACAGCCGGGCATCGGTGTGTCACTGGTGAGTGTTAGATGGTAGCAACTTTCGTAATCAAAAGTGGATTCCCAATGGTGATTTTGAACACCTACAACTATGGCTGCTCAGATCACATGTATATAGTCAGGAACATGATTTCTCCTTTGCGTTAAATTCTGTCAATCTTCAGCCCAAAATGCCTATCTTTGATAGAGTCCACAACCATGCGTAGTCCTTTATTGGTTTCGGTTGTCGCTTAGGCGGATGCTTATCTGACGATTAACTAGCAAGTTATCGTTTAATGAATCAACTTACTCATCGTTTAAGACCATTCCATACAGGATGATTTGATTTTATCTGTTATACCGTCTAAGCATAGGTCGTTGCAATAATCGTGAGAAAACAGTTGTAGTCAAAAAAGAGCTATTTTACATC